TTAAGTCTTAAATGCGTGTGCATTTCTGTGTATTTTAAGTGTGCTTTTTCTCCTAGATAATGAACATATATATATGGAACTGGGACAGAAACTGTCAAAATATTGTCCAAAAGAGTGGAAACGGGAAGCCAGCAAGGTATCATGCAAACAGAGTTTGATGTTCTTAGGAGAAATTTTTTGTTGTTGTTGCACACTTTGACAGAGTTCTTACCAACTGCAGGGAATTGACCAGTTTGGACCTCCAATGATTGTTCACTTCAGAGCACAGTATTATGTTGAAAATGGAAGACTTATCAGGTGAGACATCTACACATCTACACTACTGTTCAAATGCTTGGGTCAGTAAGATTCCTTTAGTACTCTTATTCAGCAAGAATGCATTTCATTGATCCAAAGTGACAGCAAATACATTGTTACAAAAGAAATAAAATATATTCTTTTAAACTTTCAATTCATCAATCGGGCTGTCAAACGATTAATCGCGATCAATTGCATCCAAAATAAAAGTTTGTTTACATAATATATGTGGGTACACTGTGTATAATTATTTTGTATATACTGTATAAAAATACACACACTTGCATGAATATTTAAGAAAAAATATTATTTATATATAAAATATTTATATTTCTATATAATAAATTATATATAAATCTACATACAGTATATACATGAAAATATTTATTAAATATATACAAGCATGTGTGTGTATTTATATATATATATAATTATATATATATATAATATATATAAAAATAATTATACAGTGCACCCACATATATTATGTAAACACAATTATTTATTTTGGATGCGATTAATCGCGATTAATCGTTTGACAGCCCTATTCATCAAAGAATTCTGGGAAAAAGTATGAAGGTTTCCACAAAAATATTACAACATTGATGATATTAAGAAATGTTTTTAAGCACCAAATCAGGAATTTAGAATGATTTCTGAGGGATCATGTGACACTGATGATTGGAATAATGATGCTGAAAATTCAGCTTTACCATCACAGTAATAAATGACATTTTATAATATATTACAATTTAAATAAAAAAATGTATTGTAATGCTTACTGTATTTTTGGTCAAATAAATGGAGCCTTGGTGAACATAAAAGACTTCTTTCAAAAGCATAAATCACACTGACCCCAAACTTTTAAACGGTAGTGTATACATTCAAAATTACAATTTGAAAAATGACTGAATGTGTTCTATATGCGTTCTATATCTGTTTTAGCGATCGCATGGCACGGTATTATTACTACTGGCAATTGCGGAAGCAGGTACTGCAGTCTCAGTGCATCCAGAGAGAAGAGGCTTATTTCCTTCTGGCTGCATTTGCGCTGCAGGCTGACCTGGGAAACTTCAAACGGAACAAACACTTTGGTGCCTATTTTCAGCCAGAAGCTTATTTCCCCTCCTGGGTAAGTCTGCACAGCACCCCATTAAACTACTTCCTGATGAATCATTATGCTGATCAAGCTTGTTAAACGTGTGTTTGCGCCGACCGCCCTCTGTGTGTGGTTTATGGGCTGCACTGTGTTGTCCCTAAATATTCAGCAACATTGAATAGAGCTTTTTGTAAAGACGACAACAAAAACAACAACAAAAAATGTTTTATTTATCAGTGCATGTAGGGGATTGATGTTAAAAATAGTTGAACGCTTTTAGACAGAATCTTTGGTGCGTTAGCTTCAGGCTTGCTGAGCTGTGCTATTATCTGGACACACATGGTGTGAGGCGCTCCTTCTCTGCAGGATGGTGCAGTCAGAGATAGGCTGTGCAGATCACAGAGACTGCTGACAGCACTGCTGAGGATATTCATTCGTGTTCAGGGACATCACTGTAGCCAAGCCTGACAACTAGGATTATATCTGCATATATTTGTACAAATTCTAATGATTTAATATGTGTATATATACAATATATTGCTTTTTTTTCATTATTAAATTAGAAATCTTTTTTGATCGTTTTGATCTCTAGTAGGCTATTCCATCTACATTTGCATTTAGCATAAATATAGGCTATTGTAAGATTAGAAATGTATTCTTGCCCCTCAAATACATTTTGAAATATATTTTGGTTTATGAAGGTTGAAACTAAATATATTTACTGCACAGTGAGCTGCACTGTTACAACACATTTAGTATATATTTCAAATATATTTGGTTAGAAAATAGAAAATAATTCCTTATGGGATGCTGTTGGTAAGGTTAGGCTAACTTTCTTTGTTAAACTGCTTAAAAAAACAATTTGACATCTAGGTTTTTTGGTGTAAGTATTACATTTCTTTAATATTATGCGATTTATGTCAGAGTCAGAATATCATTTGGTTTGATTAACTTTGTTAGGAACATTACAAAATTGATTTTTTACTGAACCAATGGCAAGTAACTATTTTTTTTTTTTAAATGATAAGATTTTAATTTCCATAATATTAAAATACTAAGTCATGGAAAACTAATAGACTAATAATAACTAATAAACTAAAATAATAATTCTTTAGTTAATATACTTTATTATTATTATTATTACTTTGATCAGATCAAAATACTGCAATCTCTATTAAAAAAATCTAAATGCAGTTATCAACCATACCGGGAAAGTCACGTACCGGTAAATTTATCAGTCAAAAGGCGGCTTTATTATTTTTTAATAATAAATATTTAGGGCCCAAGCCTGAAAGGGCGAAGGCCCTATTGTTTTCCTAACGATTATTAGGGCCCAAGCCCTGAAAGGGCGAAGGCCCTATTGTTTTCCTTAGGATTATTAGGGCCCAAGCCCTGAAAGGGCGAAGGCCCTATTGTTTTCCTTAGGATTATTATTATTAGGGCCCAAGCCCTGAAAGGGCGAAGGCCCTATTGTTTTCCTTAGGATTATTCTTTTCTATTATTATTATTATTATTATTATTTTTCTTACGACTATTCGGGCACTTTTGGGGCCCTTAACATGCTCGAAAACTCTTGAAACTTTGCACACGGGTCAGAACCCGCGGCCATCAGAGCCGGGCTGAAGATGGTACCCGGGCGTGGCAGGGGGGCTCGTCAGCGCCCCCTGGAATGGGGTCCGAACACTTGGTCCATAACTCAAACACGCTTGCATGTAATAATATGAAACTCGGGACGCATGTTGATCTCATCGTTTCATCTATACCTCGCGCTTTTACTTTTTACCCCAGCCCAACAGGAAGTCGGCTATTGAGGTTTGTTTGTAAAACGCTCGCAATGGTATTTGAAATACTCCTCCTAGAGCTTTGATCCAAATTCGACGATACTCGGTCAGCGTAAAGTGAAGACATTGAGGATGAAAGCTTGTGTGGGGATTTTTGATATCTCGAACGGTTTGGCCGTGGCGAGGAAACGAAATCATAGCGAGAAACGTGAAACAGGAAGTTTGTTATAACTTCAGCATACATTAACTGATCTTGATGAAACTTCAGCAGTATGTTCGCTGTAAGAGGACGATCACATGGATGTGACTATTGTGAGTCAAAGTTATAGCGCCACCAACTGGCAGCAGGAAGTGTGTCACTTTCAAAATGCTTAGATATCACCCTTTTATTTTTACCCGATTTGCTTCAAACTTCATATGTATAATGTAAACATACGGCAGATGTAGACCTGTGAATGGATTCTTGATATCTTTGAAACTGTTGCCGTGGCGACGCATCAAACTTTACCCTTCTTTTAGGATGCTTTTAGGATGCTTTTGAGACCCTTAGCATGCTTCAAATTGCATGAAACTCGACAGACACATCACATTTATTAGCCAGTAGACATGTGCAAAGTTGCAGAAACGGGCGTGGTGAGGGCTCAGTAGCGCCACCTTTTGACAAAAGTGGGGTTGTTAGTTTTATCTACAGTTACAAAAATCGGTATGTATATTGTACTCCTCGAGCCGGACAACTTTCTAATTGACACTCATTAGCTAGGACCCACAGAAAGTCAGATATGTTTGTTTGAATGTGGTCTTGCTCAATCTGAGCCTGCTGTCTTTGCCTGTCTGTGTATGTGTGTGTGTTTGTAGGGGGAGGGGTCTTAACCATTTCACTCCTGTGTGTATGGCCTGCATAAAAAATAAATGCCTTAAGCCTGGTATTTTTTTAAATAAGTTTTTTATTTTTTATAAGTAAAGGCATATAACCAGTTTAATTGTAGTGCATTAATAGTTTTATATAATTAGTTTATTAATTAAATTAACTTGGTCCATAAACTTGATCTGAAAATTTGGTCCATAAATCAAACACACTTGCATGTAATAATATGACTTGAGTGTTAATCACATCATGTTTTCAGTTTGAATATAAAATATATAAATTATGTAAAAAAAATAAAGTTGATCCAGCTGGAGCGCAGGCTGAGAATAGCGCTGTCATGACTGGATCAGAGATCATCAGTCATGCCCTCTCATACCTTACGCGCACACCACGCCCACTTACATCAGATCACATCAACAAGTCAGCCGGAGGGATACCGAGGGTCGCTTTCGGATTCAAGAATTTCTTACAACAAGATGGCAAAAGAACAGCGCTTTGCAAGACATGCAACGTTAAGATCGCGGACAGTCAGATGACAACCTCCAATTTCGTCCGTCATTTGAAGAGCCTGCCCTGTAAGTGCTTGTCAATTTGTTAATGTTATCTGGTTAGCTCGTTCGTAGTTAGCTAGCTAATGTAAGTTAAAGGAGAACTCCGGCGCAAAATTACACATTGTTACCTAGTCAACCGTTATCTGAGATTTGTTTTCATGACTGCCGAATGTAAATAGTTTTATCTATAAAAACAGTTTAGCCTATAAGTGACGTCCGACATTCTGCATATTGTGTTATTTTGTTAAGCCCCACTAAAGGCATAAAAAACTGTAAAGCACAATCAAGTTTTCACACTATATTCCAAGACTTCTAAAGTCATTCAATAGCTTAATGTGTGGTAAAATTAATATTTTAGTCTCTAAGTTAAAGTTAACGGAAAGTCATCTCGCCTCAGTCATTCTCCATGCATCAGCATTAGCGCGTCGCGTTCGGTTGCGACAGTAACACGACGACACTCTCTTCAAGATCAATGTTCCCAATATTATACTTTATTTGTAGATAAGGCATAAAGGTCTATGATTTGCATAAAATGACTATCTTGCTGGAGTGGAGTTTATTGCCCTTTAGAATACACTAAGCATTAGTGCTGCACGATTAATTATATCGCAGTCGTAATAGCGATCTCAAACCTATGCAATTATATAACGCAAAATGCCGCGATTTTATATGAAATAAACAAAGTAGGGCTATTAGCGCAGCATCTCTTCTTTTTTGTCATCCTTTGACTAGTGTTACAAGATCCCCCTCTTTCAAATGCCTTTTCGCATTTTGCACGACAAGAAGTGAAAAGCTGCCTGTGAGTGCCCTAGATTAGAATAGATGAGACTCGCATAATGCGCATGCACTGACCGTGTGCCAGCCCAGAATAAACAGTTCTCTTTCGAGCTTGAACGAACAATAGCACACACAATTATGCCAAAATGTGGTTTTGTCTAGTATCTTCATAACATAAGAAAAGTCTATGGATGAAAAGAGTTGTGCTATGAGGCGCGTGTGAGATCCGCGTCTCGGCAACGGGTGCTCTTAAAGGGCCAGCAGCGAATAAAGCGTTCTTTCAGTAAAGTTAAAAGAACAAAGGGAAATTAGAAAATTACTCACTGATCTTGAGTAAAGAACTTTTGTAGCTTTAATAAGGATTATTATATATATAATTTATGATTCAGGCAGCGCAGACTGTTTGATAACTTTATTCAATTTCTGTACCTGTTAAGACAGGAAGGGCACAGGTAAATATGTTTTTTATTATGGGTTTATGTGGGGATTGTTTGAAGTTCACTTAATTTAAAAGCTGTTATATATTTTTTTTAAGCCTAATAATTTTTTAAAAAGTTGATGGCTTTCAATTGATGGAATCACTGTAATGTTGGTTTGGTTGATGGTTTATTGATCATTATAGGTGTTATCAATCATTTATTGTTGTTGTTGTTTTTAGTTTGAGTTGAGAAATAAACATTAATCTGTGTGTGCATTTTACTTTAGAACCAAGCAAGTTAGACTCATGAAACCATTTTATTATATCGGAGTCGCAAATCGCAATTGCAATATTGGCTCAATAATGGCAATATGACATTTTCCCAAATCGTGCAGCCCTACTAAGCATAGATTATAGATACCATCCCTTCGCTATGTTCTTTTCAATGTGAAGCGTTGCATGCTGTGACTTGGTGTTGCTTCAAGTGCATCATTCTGCACACGGGATGCGCATGATTGCTTATAATACTTTGGGGAGACAAGGGGGCGTGGCCTAAGGGAATATCACTCGTGATGTTAAGTGATGTTACCCCGCCATCGCTGATACAACCTTTAGCAGTCATGTTTTTGCTTCTTGAGAGAGAGAGAAAGTGTGTGTGTGTGTGTGTGTGTGTGTGAGCAGTGGCGGTTCTAGGCGGGGGCCTGGGGGGGCCAGTGCCCCTGCGACAACAAGCTTGGACCCCCTTGTGGCCCCCCTAAATGTGGAGTCAGTGTGAAATATTTTTTTATAGTGTGTCACGCATTGAGCATGACAGTCACTCGTTTCAGTCTTTTGTCTCACACTCCCGTCACACATTGTATTTCTCATGCGGAAAAACTATTAATAATATATTTAATATACGCAATTTCTCTGGCCGCGCCGCTCTCACGTGAGAATCAAGCGCGTCTCGCCTGGAGTTCAGCAGTCGACCCTGCTACGCATCAGCCAATCAAAAAAAGAGAAGTGCTACTACATTGGTTGTTAGTTTTATCTACAGTTACAAAAATCGGT